TTTTTCAAGCCATTTCACTTCTTAACTCATCAATTTTATACAATAAATTACAACACATTTCATTAAAATGAAATGTAACAAAATATATCCCTAAGCCACCCTATAGGTCGAACTCCACAAAGACAATAGGCAAAAGGGTTCTTTTCTTTTTAATTATTCTTTCTTCACTTAGTTAGCAACTTAAACATTTATATATGTATCCAAAGGTTCCAATACAATTTTGGAACACCAAGTCCCTTACAACCCTCATGGCCGAAGTGTAGGGATCAAAATACATAGGATTTTTCCCTTTTGGCCTTCTCACTAATTTCACCAATTCTATTCTCTCTCTCAAGCACCTTAGGCTCTCTTAATACATAATATAAAATTTTTGCCCAATGCTCCCTATTCAACCTATCATGGCCGAACTTAGGGGAGTGCAAACCAAGGGAATTTTTCTTCATTTAACACATGTTGATGTTTCTCTTCTACACTAAGACTTCCTATACAAAACAAGCCATCATAATTTTCAAGTTTTATACTACTTCCTTTCTCACCCACACATGCTCACAAATTCAAAACATAGATCACAAAAAATAAAATCATAGGATTAGGGTTTTGTTACCTCTAATCACCTATCCAAAACCTAGAAGACATTCACCAAGAGAATCTCCATCAAAAGCTCCATTTTGCCTTCTTAATGAATAGTGCCACGCAAAGGGGGAAGAGAATATCTCCTCACACAAGCAATGATAGTTCAAACTAATGGTGGGAATGGATTCATTGGACCTTTTCCTATGAGTTTCATGTGTAGCATAAAGCTTTTTGATGATCAAATGAGTGAGAATGGAAGGAAGAAAGAAAACAAAATGAAACCCTAAGCCAAACCTTCCATGTGAGACAGCCACGGGAATGACGAGAAGAATGAAGAAAAGCAACGCATGAGAGAGAAATTTAAAAGGAGTTATGGCTTTTATAAAGTTAACTTATTTTAACTGGGTAAAGGTTTATCTATCTACACACCTCCATTCATTACTAAACTTTACACACTAGTCCAGAATATTTTTATGCTAATATTTATAATTTTACCTTTTACTTTCGGGTAACTTTATTTACCCGCATTTTTACTCCTTAACTGTCATTTTAACTCCTTTTTCACCAAATGTGACTTTATTTCTTTTACTTCTAATTATTCTTCGATATTATATCCACAATTACTAGTAAGGGTTATTATAAATATTTTGTCACCTTTTTCTTCAACCACTTTCTCAGCAATCCAACAATACCACCCTCTGGATGGTATTCCAAATAGTATTTTTTTATCCAAGTTTTACTCATAAAATGAATTACCAGCTATTTCACTTTCCAAGATAATTTTTTTGAAAAATAATACCAAACACGATCATTTTAAAAATCTACCCTCACTTTTCTGGATATTAACCAAAAAAACAAAAAAACCTACCGAACACCCCCAAGATCCCTATGAATTAAGGGTCTGTTCGGTGTGATGTATAAGGCCTGATAGTATAAGTTTGTACTATATGTTATTACATTTTTAGTTATTTGGTGTGACCATCGTATAATATAAGCTTATACAGTAAGATCTCTTTATACATCAAAACGATATATAACTTAATCACGCTTAGGAAGATAGGATTAGGCCTGATAAGGGGTTGATCTATTAACCGATGTAATTTTCAAGAATTAATATATTATTTTAATATTAGTATATTAAAATAAAAAATAATTTTTCAATATATAGTTTTTTAAAATATTGGAGATTTTTATTTTTATAAAATTTAATATATTTTTTGGACACACTAATCAACATATTTCTATAAAAAATAATATCATCTAATATATTTGGAAGGATTATGTAAATTCATTATTAAAATGTATTTTTGACAAAAATATTTATTTTTAACCTATCTAGTATTATACGGTGTATTACTAAACATTGGATCATTGGATAATATTATCTTATACAATATCATGTCAAACGCTGGGTAGTATTAAAATTTAATCAGGTCTTATACAATTATGCCTTATACTATCATATTTTATACTATTACATTTTATCCTATATTATGTACCAAACATCCACTAAGATTCTACGGGACACATTCCAGTACGCCTTGTTGGTTTGGAGCATGTCTTAAAAGTTGAAACCTTCGAGTTGATTCAAATCTTGAAAATGAAAAAAATATCTTTCCTTTTAAAAAAGAAAAGAAAAGAAAAATAGTACTAATAGTATACTAAACAAAATAATATTTTTACAGTTACTGTAAATAAGTTATCTGTATTTACTCTCAAAATGACGTCGTTTGAGGATTGAAAAATTAAATAATTATAGTTATAAAGACTAGAATAACTCTGAAATAAATTAAACTTACAAAAACACCATGATTTCTGCCCCAAAACAACGTTGTATTAGGTTTACTGCAGATAACTTATATGCAGTACCTGTAGAAATATTATTCTGTTTAGTATATTATTAGTATTATTTTTCTTTTCTTTACTGCAGAAAAAGTGAATCCTATATTAAATTATGGATTCATCTTTTCTATCTATCAATGTAGATAAGTTATCTACATTGAGCCCAAAATGACGTCATTTTGGGACAGAAATCAAGGTATTTTCGTAATTATAATTTATTTTAGGGTTATAATAGTATTTTTCATTATAATTTTTTTATTTTCAACCAAAAACAACGTCGTTTTGAAAGAGAATGTAGATAACTTATCTAGTAAAAATATTAAAGCCTTAAATTATTGTGTATAAGTCTAAGCACAATTTCCACAAACATAGTTTTTTTTTTTAAAAAAAAAACTCGTTTGCCAGTTTTGTTTTAGTTTTTTCCATTTATAAACAAATTTAAGGATTATTACATAAGGATAAACAAAATTTATATAGCGTGTATGTAATTACGTTTTCTTAAATTTCAATTTTCTAAAGGGAAGAAATTCGCACTCAATAAAATCATAAAATAAAATAAAGAGTAAATACCTTTTTTAGTCCCTAGCAATATCCACGAAGACCTTTTCAATACCTAGCAATAAAAAAGGGACAAATTGGTCCCTGGAATAGCAAAAAAGAGGCTACGTTCATCCTTCCGTTAACTCCCACCTAACGGCCCAACTAACGGTGCACAGTTGGCACGTTAGTTTGCTGACGCGGCTTGGATGTGGGACACCGTGGAAGACGAGACGACAACGTTTTGGTCCCTGTCAAAACCACGAGGGCCATTTTGGTCCCTGTCAAAATGCACGAGGACGTTTTTAGTCCCTGACAAAAAGCACGGGGCCCTTATTGGTCCCTAACCAGAGAAAAATAGGCACATGACTTCATTGTTTTTCTATGCAGTCCAATTTTACAAAACAGAAGTGCATTACATCAGAAACATGAGTGCAATCCATTTGTTCATCACAAAGTAATTAAACTAAATTTCATCACAAAGTAAAATACTCCTTCTCTGCATTTTATTGAAGTTTCGACCTTATTAACGATTATTCATTTCTTTTTCAATGCTAATTAAGCTTCCCACTTTGTTAAAAGGGATTCTTGGCTCTTGCAAACAGCTTTTACGATCCCTAGAATACTATGAACTAGTTTAATTCTCTTAGTCTGTATAAGACATAGCGTAATGCGATTTACGAACAATATCTTTAGTAGTGTAGCATTACAATTATACTATTTATTTTTCTATAAAATATAATTGCATGATTGTTGATATTTAAATACAGAGAAAAATCAGAGAAAAAGCCAAGTAAATGATTGTTGATAATTGCAATGCATGGCAGTTGACTGGACTGCAGCAGTTGGTAGTTCTCAGCCACATGAAGGCAACTTAAGAGGAAGCAGCCCACCTCCATCAAATCCACAACAGGCAAATGAGCTGTTGAGTAATGAAACAATGAATGCAGCAACTAGTGGCACACGAAGCAGATTATTGGCCTTCATGATCACACCTGGTTTTAGGCCACCAAGGCCTGCCTTAAGAAAATGACCTGCTGCTGTATATGACCTGAGAGTAGTGCATGAGCCAACTGAGAATGGTTTATTATTATGTGACTAACTTTTTTTGAAAATCTAGCCATTATGTATTTGGAGGCCTTATTATGTCAATGTTTTTTTTTTGTAAATTCTGGCCATATTGTATTAGAGGCCTTTCTTTTAATTCCTGACAGTAGTTGCCTTTATTTTGTAATGCACTACTGTACATCCATGTCTTCAGATATAATGATACTCAAATCATGTTCCAGCTATTATGTTTCACAGGGTTGATGAATGTTTAAGTTTACCATTTTTGATGTTTTTTAACTAATATACGTAGTTGTAGTTCTTGTACATCCATGTCTTCTGGTTTAACAAATTGGACTGCATATAAATCCAATTTAATGTCATGTTCCTGTTTTGCAAAATTGGATTGCACTCTTGTTTATGATGTAATGCACTTCTGTTTTGCAAAATTGGACTGCATAGAAAAGCAATGAAGTCATGTGCCTATTTTTCTCTAGTTAGGGACCAATAAAGGCCTCGTGCTTTTTGTCAGGGACTAAAAACGTCCTCGTGCATTTTGACAGGGACCAAAATGGCCCTCGTGGTTTTGACAGGGACCAAAACGTCGTCGTCTCGTCTTCCACGGTGTCCCACATCCAAGTCGCGTCAGCAAACTAACGTGTCAACCGTGCACCGTTAGTTGGGCCGTTAGGTGAGAGTTCACGGAAGGATGAACGTGGCCTCTTTTTTGTTATTTCAGGGACCAATTTGTCCCTTTTTTATTGCTACGGACTGAAAAGGGCTTCGTGAATATTGTCAGAGACTAAAAAGAGTATTTACTCTAAAATAAAATAAGATTATTATTAATTTATTATTATTATCATGGTCCACGTCCGAAAAGAGAACAAGACAGATTCCAAGTTGGCGTATGATCCAACATGTCACGATGCAATTGGGCCATTAGACGTGTATTTCTCAACCAAAATTCTTTTTATTTTTTATTTTGTTATTTTGGGGCATGATTTGCAATTTGCATAAACGTTAAACAAACCAAACAAAAAGAGAACTCTAAATCATCATCTATTTCGATTTTCAGATCCAAACGCAGAAGAGAGTGAAAGAATGGAAGCCATTGATTCTGTCTTCGATCCCCTCAGAGAATTCGCTAAGGACAGCGTCAGGCTCGTGAAGCGTTGTCACAAACCCGATCGTAAAGGTGAAACCCTAATTCTAATCCTAATCATTCGTTCCCTTTGATTACTTTTAGATCTCTCTCTTTTAATTTGATTCGAATCTCTGTGTTTGGATCTTGATTTTTCGGATGCGTTTGGTATTTTAGAATTCTCTAAGGTTGCCGTGCGAACCGCAATTGGTTTCGTTGTGATGGGATTTGTAGGCTTTTTCGTGAAGCTCATCTTCATTCCAATTAACAACATCATCGTCGGATCTGGTTAGGTAAAGTTCGTTTTTTTAATCGTTTTTTCTCTTCCTTTTTTGGCTACTTGGATCTCTCTGTTTTTTATGTTCACAAGTTGGAGATTGTGATTTTATTTTTATTTTTTATTGTAAATTTTGAAATTGTCTTATTTTGAATTGCTTATTTGGTTGAGTGGCTGTTAAGAAGTATTGTTTGACTTGTTGGCAGCATTGTCCTTTGGTTTCCTGAAATAATTTGATATGAATAAGGGATTTAAAGTGAAAACCGGAAAAAATAAATGAAATTGGATGCTCCGTCTGGTTACGTTTATGGTGTGTCAGGCATAATGCATTGGCTTATTTGAGATTTTCGTTCGATTAATGATGGAAAAGAAAGCCTGCATGTCTGCTTATTGAGTTATTGTACACATTAAGATCAACTTCTTTTGCCCTTTATCAGATCATTCTTTAGATGGCATGACGAAAAAGTACTGTGGATCAGCTTAACTTTCTTCTTTCTAGAATACAGAACCCGGCATTTTCCTTATGCTAGTGAACTTTATTATCGCTGTATTGATTTTTTTGGTGTTGTAACTTTGCAAGTTTTTCCCTTATGCATGTTTATAGTTTACTCCCAGTTTTAATTTGCTGGTGGCTTTCTCTTCTTTGACTGTGGCATGTTCTATGTTGCTTTTGCTTATTTTGAATGGTATAGCTTTTGATGTAGAATTTATTTGAAACGCCAATAAGTTGATGAGTTAATTGATTGCATTATTAAGTGATTTTGATACAGACCAACAGCAATTAACAAGATTCTAATGAAAAAGGCAAAGCCAGATCCAATTTTATATATGAAATCCTATTAATATTTGTATTACAATAAGGGAAATAAAGGTACCAGGGACAACTTCAATTGTAACTACAGAGGCAAATTGACTAACAATGCCAGTTAAGCTCCTCTTATAACAGTAATGCAAAGCAACAATGGAAATAACGATGCTGAATAAGAAAGATAATTGTGAAGCAGTTGGAGAGGCTCCACTCTCTCCCAAGGTGTCAATTCCACTTTCTAAATTCTTGATGATCCTTCTTTCCTCATCAACCTTCCCTTTTATCCACTTCCTCACGTGGTGTAGCGCTCCCTAAGTTTGTTGCAACCGAATTGCTGAGTCACCACCCATTGGTTCAGTGAGAGTTGGGCCCTGATCAGCATTAGTTGCAGCCCAAGTCCCCCTGTGCTTGTCCCTCTTATAAACTTGAATGGGGTTGGGTTGGGTTGTATCAGATTTTCTTGGATAAAATCTACTGCATCTTTTTATAAATATGCATATTGGACAATAATGTGCTATGATTTATCATATGACAACCATTATAAGGTGCTATGAAGATGTAACCAGTCAGTATACATAGTCGAACATCCTCAGGGAACAGTTACTGCATTAGTACAGACATGTATAGGAGATGATGTATAATTATTTTCTTAGTAGCCTATCTTATTGCTATCTATGCCCTTAGGATCCTACGTAATGACTACCTAGTTCTGTAATGAGAGAGTATTTGCCATAGCAACTTATGTCAAGGACTTTTTTAGGAATCTCTTTATTTTGTCTGTTGTGAGATGTTGATTGTTTTGTTTGTGAAACTTCTTTTCAATGTCATCGACATCAAGTTAATATTAATATTGACTGAATGTCGAAACTGAACAGTAAGAGGTATCATATGGCATAAAGGATTCGATAAACTATGTTTCTTGTGCAAAGTGTGTAATATGAATGCGCTAAAATAACCGTTGGTTATCTCCGCAGGATGAGGGGAACTACACTCGCCTCAGGAATTCAAGTTGTAAAGCAAAAGGAGGCAGAAAGAGTCGCGACTTCAATATATCATTCGATGTGCACTTAATCTTAGTTCTGCTCTATTTCATTTTTCTTCGGAAGCGTTACAATTTTATTTGAATTGTGTAATTTTATTTTTCCGTGTTAGACTTTGACACACTATTTTGATTTAGGAAAAAATTAATTGAGGAAGTGTAGGTTTGCTCTAATTCTTTTGTTAACTTTAGCTTTCAATTTTCTTTTATGACCAATCCATGGTACACCAGTACAGTTGGGTGTTAATTGGCCGCTGGACAAAGTTGAAGGAAGATCGGTGTGCGATAGTACTCACGTACAGAACGATGTTATATTTCATTTTACAAACAAAAACAGCATGTAAAGAATGGGGAAAAAAAAAATTCAGTCAGCGGAGCTAAAGTTATCTCTAATGAATTGAAAATGATGTCGTTTTGAATTATAAGATTAAAAAATTATAATGACAAAGATTAATATAATCTTGCAATATATTATAATTATAAAAATATTTTGATTTTCGTCTTAAAATGATGTCGTTTTGAGCTTATTGGAGATAATTTTATCTTCAGTGATTTCCATTTATCTGAGATTTAGGCATGGGTAGCAATCGATTCTATAATTTTAAGGAATTGTACAATACAGTACGAAATAACGTAAAATCACATTCATTAATCAAATTTGTTTATTTGGACAAGTCCTTTACCCGTAAAGAATTTGAATAATGCCAGTCTCGCTGGTTCTCATGTTTTGTTTAGGTACATCGCAATAGTGCAAATAAGTTCGAGACTTGACGTTTGGCTTAGCAGCCGTTTTCCATTTATAGCAAAAATTTCCTGATAATACAAATCTGTGTCAATTTTTCAAATGAAATTTTTGTTTTGACTTTTGAATGGAACCTAATTCTTTTTTTTTTTGAATAACACGAAATGACTCAAAAAAGGTAGAAATACTGAAACCCCAAATAAAAAAGAAAAATGCAATTACACATTTAAAAATTTTATTATTATTACTAAATCGACAGTAGGTAAATAACAAAAAGTCGAAGTTTTGTCCATATAGCGAGGCCCAACACTCACCGTAGTATGTAATATTCAGAGAATATCCGACGAATATTAAGAATCAACCCACATGCATCTCTTTAAATCATATATACATTGCCTTATATATATATATATATATATATATATATATATATATATATATATATATATATATATATATATATATATATATATTTCATTTACAGATTTTTATAAATTATACTATGTACTCACGAAACTATATAGTGTAATTTAGTATACTTCAGGAGGTACATAGTATAGTTTGTAAGAGTTTGTAAATATAATCCTCCCTATATATGTATGTATAATATAATGGCAAGACAATGAACAATAAAGTTATACATTTAGGGGGGAAATAGCTAGAATTTTATATGATAAGATTAATCTAAGAGTAGTAATTATATGAAATTAAGATACAAGGATCATTCATTTATCTGAGATAAAAAATGTCAATTTATTCTACAAATAATGTTAGCCAAAGTTTTTCTATTTTACTCTCTAGCACTTTTGATAATGTATAAGAGCAAGGTTATACTTACAACTTTTTTTTTCTTACAACCATATCTTATCACCGTTGATTTCCGCCAATCAACGGTTATTATTTTGCAAATTAAATTCATTAATTAATTATTAATTTACAATAAATGATAACCGTTGATTGACGGAAATCAACGGTGATAAGATATGGTTGTAAGAGGTTGTAAAAAAAAAAGTTGTAAGTATAACTTTCCTCAATGTGTAATACTAATACTAGGATTTTAAAGATGGAACCCTATATCTTACCGCGGAAAATTATCAATAAATTTTGACTTAAATTAATTAAAATTTGTCAATATTTAAGGGTGATTATTAATAAGCCAAAGTAATAGGAACGAGTCATCCATTGAAAAAGTAATATTAAATGAATAATGAAAACTAATTTTTGCCTACCTTTGCCTACCCTTTTTCGTTACCGTTCGATTACAATCTAATTCAACGGTTCATATTTGCGAAATAAAATAATGGTTTGATGTTTGTCATTTTAAATGACGTAATTTTGTCATTTTAGGAGAGAGATAGACGCAAGAGATGGAAATCATGGGAGAGAGAAAGTGGATGGTTTTTTAATTTAAATTTTAAATAAAAAAATTATTTTGTGTCTATCTCTCTCCTAAAATGACATAATTTTATGTCATTTAAAATGACAAACACTTTTCCCATAAAGTAAACTCTTTTTTTCTTCTCTTTCTCCTCACTTCCTCTCACACCCTTTCTCTCTCCTCCCCTTTCTCTTTTCCTCACTGCCACATTGGAGACATTTTTTTTTCCTTCATTTCTGCCATCGTGGACCTCTTTAATACTTCTGCTTCTTAAGCCTTGTGACTCTAACTAAACAAATGAAAACTCAAAGAAATATGTAATTTTAGCATGTTTCATGTGAACTTCTTCAAAACCAATTCAAAAACTAGTGGTTCAATTTTTATTTTTCTTCCTAATCATAGATACGTTTAATTGAATTCTGTAATTTTTGGCCATTCAGATTTCATCCTCACTGAAGTATTAAAGAGGTCCGCGCCACTGGAACTATGAAGGAACTATGATTTTCCATTATTAAAGAGGTTATATGATGAAGGATCCAATTATTAAAGAGGTTTACGGCGGCAGACACCAGCGATAAATGAAGGCAAAAAAAAAATGTCTTCGGTATGGCATAAAGGAAGAGAGAAAGGGGAGGAGAGAGAAAGGGTGTGGGAGGAAGTGAGGAGAAAGAAAGGGAAAAAAGGGTTTATTTTATTTCGCAAATATGGACCGTTGGATTAGATTGTAATCGAACGGTAATGAAATGGGTAGGCAAAGGTAGGCAAAATGGGATAACCTCATTTTGCCTACCTTTGCCTACCCATTTCATTACCGTTCGATTACAATCTAATCCAACGGTCCATATTTGCGAAATAAAATAAACCCTTTTTTCCCTTTCTTTCTCCTCACTTCCTCCCACACCCTTTCTCTCTCCTCCCCTTTCTCTCTTCCTCTATGCCATCCCTATTTTTTTCTTCATCGCTGGTGATTGTTATAAGAAACAATTTTGCTAAATAAATCCCATAATGCTTGTGGAGAGGCATTTTACATTTGATGATTGTTATAAGAAACAATTTTGACTATGCAATCTTCCTTGGAGTAATAACAGTACCCAGTGGTAAAAGGCTTTGGTTTATGGTCGAGTAGTTAACCTTGATATATCTTTTTGCATTCGTCCGTGATTGACTATTAGTAAAGTTTCTTTGAATCTTGCTTTTGTTATTTTACAAATGAAGTGCCAAAAAAACCTGATAAAGCTACACAAGCGATAAAAAAAGTGTTCGCGGCGGCAGACACAAGTGTTAACAGGGAATTTTATCAATTCCCAATTTGCACCACCATGGAAAACAACTAAACAACAAGTTATGAGGTAAAGATTGAAGAACCCACCTTCTGGCACCGCCGCTTTGGATAGAGTTGTAGAAAAAGAAAGGATTTTTTTTTTTCAAATTCTTTTTCTAAAGTTGAAAAGCTTCTCAATGCATATGGAGTTGGAGAGGGTGGGGGGGGGGTTTAAAGAGGTCCACGGCGGCAGACATCAGCGATAAAGGGAAAAAAAATAGGTACGACGTAGAGGAAGAGAAAAAGAGAAGGAGAGAGAAAGGGTGTGGAGAAAGTGAGAAGAAAGAAAAAAGGGGAACAAGTTTATTTTATTTCGCAAATATGGACTGTTAGATTAGATTGTAATTGAACGGTAATGAAAGGGGTATGCAAAATGGGAATAGGCAGAATAACCTATCATAAAATAATATGACGTATTTTTTCTATGATTTCTATATAGGGTTAGGTTATTTTACCTATCATTTTTTTTTTTGTCAATCTTTGCGTACCACTCTAAAATACCGTTAGATCAGAATCTAAATAGGAGAGAAAAAATAAATATAATTAAGATTATGATTTAACGGTATTTTAGAGTGGTAGGCAGAAAAAATGGTAGGTAGAATAACCTATCCTTGATTCTGATCTGACGGTATTGTAGAGTGTTAAGCAAAGGTAGGCAAAAAAAAAATAGTAGGTAGAATAACCTATCCAAAAAAAAAGATAGGTTATTCTACCTACCATTTTTTCTGCTTACCTTTGTCTATTACTTTAAAAGACCATTAGACGAGAATCTTAATTAATATTTATCTTTCTCTCTCTTTTTAGATTCTGATCTAACGGTATTTTAGAGTGGTAGGCAAGAGTAGACAAAAAAAAATGATAGATGCAGTAACTTATTCCTTTTAAAAAAGAGATAAAAACAAAAAAAATAAAACTCACACCTTTATTTATTTTTTAATTTCTTAAAAAGACATAAATTTATGTCTTTTAAAGTCTTTTAAAGTGAAACACACTCTTCTCGTGAGGAGTCTATTTAATTTTAAGATATTATAGTCCTTAGAAAATAGAAAGTATTGACCATTAAATACATTTTATTAAATTTTCTTTTCAGCCATTTTTTTTAACCTTTACGTTCCAATCCAATCCCAGCCAAGACAATGTTTCAGCCAGAAAACACATCAACAGGTTTTGACATGGGTCCTGAGTAATGGGTGTGCACGTGTTGAATGCGACGACGGTTCTCTCCTCCATGTTTCTTTTATCGACAGTTCAACTTCAAATAGGCCTCTGTGTGTAACGCATCCTCTTCGATTTCAGTTTCAGTTTCGTCTTGCCCATTTTGCTGCGCAATCCCTCCCCTTTTTTCTTCAACTCATCCACCTCGAATTGCGCGCTTCAATGGAAGGTTTGTCTTCTATCAAGGCTCACTTTCAGACCCTCCCATCCTTATCTTCCAGACCCAGAACCTGGATTCCTCCAACCCAAGCGAATATTTATAGAAGAAACTCCTTTTTCACTTTTTCTGTTCGGGCACAGGTGACTTTTTTTTTTTATATATATATATGAAGTTTATATCTTTTTGTAACCTTGTATTCTATCTCCTTGTTTTTTAATCTGGGTCTCTTTCTTCTTTCTTTTTGGGAGTTGGGTTAATTGGGGTTTACTGAGAATGGAAATAGTTTTTTTTTTTTGGGGGGGGTGGAGGTGGGGTTTAAAATTTCGGTTCAATTATAGTGTGTGAATACAGAATTTTATGTTATGAGAAACCCCTGTTGATTTTGTGATGTTGTTTTTTGGATTATGTGGTGTTTTGGCTGTTTTGATTAGATGGAGTCCAGTGATGGTTCAGCTGCATTAGCCACATCTGGTGAATCTGTAGTGGATGCTCTCAAAGTTAAGGAGTGGGAAGTGGGGATGTTCCAAAATGAAGTTGCTGCTACCCAGGGTATAAGAATAAGGAGAAGGCCGCCAAGTGGACCCCCTTTACATTATGTAGGACCCTTTCAATTCCGGTTGCAGAATGAGGGCAATACACCCCGTAACATTTTGGAAGAGATTGTGTGGAACAAGGACGTAGAAGTCTCACACGTATTATGATTGATTTACTCTCTGCTTTATTTTTCTTACTAATAATAGATGTTGTTTTTCATGAAATAGATTGCCTGTTGTAATACTGGAAACTATTTGATTTTCAGCTAAAAGAAAGAAAACCCCTCATTATGCTGAAGAAAGGCCTTGAAAATGCTCCTCCTGCAAGGGATTTTATTGGTGCTCTAAGGGCAGCCAATGAACGAACTGGACTGCCAGGATTGATAGCTGAAGTGAAGAAAGCTTCACCAAGTAGAGGTGTCTTGAGAGAAGACTTCGATCCAGTAAGACTGTCTTGATTTCCAATATCATTTTTCTGGCTGGAATTGTTATCTCGCTACTTTACTTGTAATATTTCTGAAGTTATTATTGATGTTATGTGGGAAATGTTTTGAGTCAGCTTCAGCTGGCTGGCACACCATTGCATCTTGTTGGTTAGAGTTAAATTATTCAACTATTTTTTTTATTTTTTTTTTATTTGGCTTCCCTGAATCTACTTGTTATACCATAAGTGTTTGATATGAGTCATGTTTGCAGAGGTAGGTCTTAAATTATTTTATGCTACATATCAATTTCTTCTTTTGAGCATCTTAAGCTTTTTGCTTCCCTCTTACCCTAATTAATTTTCTCCCTCTTTGTGATACCCATCAAAATAAATTCTTTCTTCTCGCATCTACTATTGGCTCTCAGTTTGCTTTTACTATTATTGCATTTATAAAATCAACTATTTAGTTTTTAATCTATCCGCTTCCATTTACCCCAGTTAAATGTAAATACAAACTTATCTAAGAGTGATTGGATTTTTTATTCTGTACCGCATTGCCAAGATAACCACCAACCCAATAAGTATCGGAAAGAAGTATTGCTTTACAGAGTCTCTGTAAAGTATATAATACACATGTTTGGTCTTGGATAGCTCATTTGTTTCTCAACAACTAGTCCAGGTTCATGGCTTGGAAAGAAGTATCACTTCAAAACATACTTGTCAGTAATAGTTAGCGGCCGACCCCAAAAATGGTTTAGCGGTGTAGCGGGTAGCAGTATTGCCGCTATGGTGAAGTATTAATTCCACATATATTATACTAACAGTCTAATACTACACAAATATAAATGCTCAAACATAAGAAGTCACACAAAATCAAACACATAATTCCACAATCAATGTCAAATACAAGGAACATAAACGAAGGATTCAAAATTAAACACAAATGAACAATGAAATTGTCAAATAGTCAAATAGAAGAAGTGAACTAATGAAGAAAATAATCATCATCTCCAGATTCTCCATCAAATTCCAACAAATCTTCTCCCTCACTTTCATCTTCACTTGAACTAATGGTATAGCTGTGTAGCGGGTAGCGGTATATCTGCTACGTTACGCCGCTACCTTCCGCTATCGGCCAACGTCTCGTAGCGTCGCAGTTGTAGTGGCCGGCCGCTGCTACCCGATACTGTAGCGGTTTAGCAGCGCTACCGGCCGCTACTGACAACCTAGCTTCAAAATAAGGATCTCGTCTGAGTTTACTGTATCAGGAAGATGTTATGTTTTCTCATTAAAAACAGGGCAGCCTGGTGTTATAAAGCTCTTGCAATATGCTGGGTCCAGGGAAGGTCAGGCCCAGCCAGTGCGTGGGTATATAGTAGGCAATCTTACCTTGCATTTGCAAGAGAATAATTACATGAATCGAACATGTGACCTCTGGATCACATGGCAACAAACCAACCGCCGTGTCAAGGTTCTCCTTATATTTTCTCTTTAAGTTGAGTATTTTGGTTTCCTAGTACTTCTGTATCAAGTCACTTAGCAAGCCCTTCAAGCAACTTATCCAACACTGTTGTTAGTTTGTATTTCTTTTCTTCATGGTATACGCTACTATTTTAGAGGTTCTCTGTGATAGGTTGAAATTGCTCAAGCTTACGAGAAAGGTGGAGCAGCATGCCTAAGTGTTTTGACAGATGAAAAGTATTTTAAGGTAAACGCTACTCATCCAACAACTTGAATGCTGCTAGATAATATTTGGTTGGTTGAGAACTAGGCTATATTGCAGTTAAATGATAAGTAACTCTAACTTGAATCTTGGTTTTCATGATCAAGGGAAGCTTTGAAAATCTCGAGGCAATAAGAAAGGCTGGAGTAAAGGTTAGCTTTCTGAATTGCATTAATCCTTGATATAGGATTTATTCTTCCATCTAATGCTTTATATAGGACCTGTTGATGACTCTAGAAAAAATATGCAGTGCCCTTTGTTGTGTAAAGAATTCATCGTTGATGCATGGCAACTCTACTATGCTCGAACTAAAGGTGCTGATGCTGTCCTTCTAATTGCTGCTGTTTTGCCTGATCTTGATATCAAATACATGATTAAGATATGCAAGTTACTGGGACTGACCACACTTGTTGAGGTAAGGTTGGTGGTTTATTTATTTGTTTCCTAAATTTGAATGACATCTGACATTAATGAAACTTTTTTTAAGTGAACTGATATTTGATGTTTATTTTTGAAGCCAAGTTTTGAGTTTATCCCATTTTTAGTGTAAACTTGGTCCTAAAGTGGGTTAATTTGAGTTTTGAATACTGTAATATATGAACAATGAGCCTCTTCAATGTGATGATTCTGTGCTTAAAAGCAAAATTTAAAGCGTATTAGATTTACAAGTACAGAATTTATAGGTCGACTAAACTTTTGTTGGAACCCGACTTACATTTTTTTAGCTTTAGTCGAAACCTTGAATTGTTATGACTGATTTGATGATTGTGATACCTGCACTGTATTTAGTACTTATATTAAGATACAAAAGTCATCAGTATAATTTTCCTTAGATCTCTCAATCTGTATGGCATGTTCCTTTTTTGTGCTTATTGGACATTTTATATTTTTTTCTCGTAGGTGCACGATGAGAGGGAATTTGATCGTGTTCTTGGAATAGAAGGTATTGAGCTTATTGGCATTAACAACCGTAATCTTGGTAAGCCTTGTCGCTCCTCTCTGTTACTCCCCTCCCACCCCCGCTCTCCTTTTTTTTTTTTATGAAATGGTAATGCCTTTTCTCTTGCATGTACTGAAAATGGGATTAATAATAAGTAAATTATGCAAATTGGCTTTCGCGTAGTACTTTAAACTAAATCCTTTGTACTTTGTTTTTTTTATCCTTTTTGTGTCAATGTCGGAATATTTAAACTTGAGGATCTGACTCGTTAACTTTGGCTTTTCTTTTTTTGGGGTTGCAGAAACATTTGAGGTGGATATCAGCAACACAAAAAGGCTTCTTGAAGGAGAGCGAGGCAAAATAATCCGTGAGAAAAACATAATTGTACGCTGCCTTTCCTTTGTTTATTTAGAGTTACTTGAAAGAAATGATATTTTATTTTGAATCTCAAATATCCTGCTGATGATTATATGGTTTGTTTAGATTGTAGGGGAATCTGGTATGTTCACTCCCGATGATATTGCCTATGTACAAGAAGCAGGTGTTAAAGCTGTAAGTATTAGCAATTTCATTTCTAAAACGTAATTAACATTTTGTTTGTTGAATCTTTGGTCATAAATTGAGGAACACAGTAATAAAATTTCAGTAAACCATGTGTTTTGCCAACAACTGTGTCATATAAGGGGAATAGGGGGGATTACTCCAGTACGCATGTATGTTAAACCAACAATTAACAAATGTATGACATCCTTATGGTACCATAGCAACTTCCATTATTTCACCTTTTTGTTTTTCCGCAGGTTTTGGTCGGGGAGTCTATTGTAAAGCAAAGTGATCCTGGGAAGGGAATCAGCAATCTCTTTGGCAAAGATATCTCTTTGGCTTAGCTAACTTCCTTCAAATATGGGTATTTGAGATAACAGATTTTTGATATGGTTATTGATCTGGTTCATTCTACCTTTGCTTGTATTAAATAATCAAAAGCTTAAACATGTAACTGTATAAACTATGCATGTTTAAAGATACTTTATAACTAAATCAGGTCATTTTGTGACAATGGATTGCTTGGCTTTTCTGCGACCTCAACTTTGCATTGAATCTCTAGTCTTCGTTTTATGGTACCGGATAGCGCTCTCCGTCTAATCGATGGTCCTTTTTTCCCCTAATAAATTCTAATAGCTGTGTTGTAATTAACTAATTATGCGAAGAGTTTTGAAGTTGTATTATAAACAGCATATAGTATGTGATATATTAACGCCCATAACGTCATCATTAGCTAGAGGAGGTACTGACGAGGATAGAGAAATATGAATAAAGATACGTATACATATTGTCTTCACAACCTTCGTAGTCCGAAGTAGATTTATCTGAAACGTACACTAAAAATTATAATGGAACAAATGTGTCCTCTAATAGTTTATGGAGAATTGTTTCTTATCTTATGTTGTATAAGATAATTAGTTTTATGCAACACACCAAAAAATATGTGCACCAAATAATTTATGTGAGAGTAATATTTTTCATAACTTATTAGTGTTCATGGGGTGTAGGCGAAAACTTTTTGCAAGTATTACTTTTAGAAAAGTAAAAATAAATTTAATTATGTTAAATTTCTTATTCGGCCGTGTGCACTGATTTAAACACTTGTTTTAATTTTTTTTCATCTTTTTTCTGTTCTTGTAGAACCACCTTGTAGAAATCTCCCATGATGGCCCTGAAAGGAAAACGGTTAGACAAGCTATAGTTTACAACTTTACAAGTGTAATTTCATATAATTTATCAATAAAATTCAAGCACGAATTGAACCCCTAACTCTTTTTTATCAATGGTATTCTATAGTTACTGGAAATAACTATTTAAAAGGTACATTTTTTTAAGTTCACCCACACGGTTTTGCACTCTTACTAGTTAGAAATTTTTGGTGTGCCCAAACAAGATAAACAAATTTCTGTCAGAAACTTTTCTTTGTAAAGATTCAAATAAAACAATCTGATAGTAAAAAAGAAAAAGAATTCTTAGCATGATTGGCTTTACGTTTGCACAACTCATACGGGATTTTGATTAGTGTTTTTTACGTTATAAGAGATAATTTTATTTACTATATACACGTAAAAATATGTAGATCCTATATTTTTTCTCTCTCTTTTCTTTGTATAATCCCATGAAATTCACACACTTTTATATTTACCCTAACTCATAATCACTTTCGCCATTTTTCTTATGTTTGGTTAGCATAGAGATCAGTTGAATGAACAGCGAGTTTGAGCCCAAATACATGTTTGAGTAAAAGCAAAACATAGTTGCTTTTGTGGGGAGATGATTAGAATTTATGATAATCATTTTATTCTATCCAATCATAAATCAATCCCCTTCAAATTCAATTTTAACTAAACTCAATCTAGCAAAATAAAGATAAAATCAAGCTTGAAAATGTTCACCTACACTTAGTATCTGATTCCTTTAGCAACCTCAAAAAAATGAGCAACATTCTCCTCTGGTGTTCCTACTACAATGCCATGACCAAGATTCAAGATATGTTTTCCCCTGCCTGCTTTTCTCACAGTATCGTTTATTCTATCAGTGATGAACTGTTTTGAACCAAAAAGGACACCAGGATCCACATTACCCTGGACTACTGCATTTGGTCCCAACCGCTTCCTTCCATCAGCCATATCAACCATCCAATCCAAGCTAAATACATCCACACCTGTTGAAGGTAGCCTCTCAAGCAATCCACCAGCACCACTTGCATACAAGATTAAAGGGAGTTGTGGATGTGTTTTCTTCACAATATCTACAATCTGCTTCAAGTAAGGCAAACTGAATTCTTCAAAATCCACTGGACTAAGCTCTGTTGCCCATGAGTCAAATATCTGAACAGCTTGAGCTCCTTTGTCAGCTTGGTATTGAATGTATCTTGCCATTGACGTTGTAAATTTCTGTAGTAAAGAGTGGAGGACCTACGGATGAATCACAGTTCCATAAAAATAAATGAGTTTATCACGAATATTCACAGCTCAATAAAGGACATACACTTTCCAAGCAAAAATAACCATTTCGAAGCCTTAATGGGACACTAAGAGAAGTTTTACTCTTTCCTATATTTTTTGTCCCTCTATCCTATATCAATATTCTATATATTGAAAAGGGTCAAGCGCTATTCTAGCCATCACAAGAGAGATGAAAACTTCTATGTTCCTAACAAAATAACTATTGATATGCGGACAGGAATGCATGTTTACCTTGGGTTCAGAGAAAGCCAATCCTTTTATTTTTGAGAAGTGTTTTGATGAACAACCTTCAACCACATATGATGCCAGGGTAAATGGAGCCCCGACAAATCCAAGGACTGCAGCTTTATTATCCACCTACAACCAATACTCCAGCTTTTATATTCAATGAGATAATAAGACATAAGGGTATTATGAATTAAATTGAACATCCGGGAACAATAAAGAAACAACTCTTTAACACCATGAGACATATAGATCAACTCATATTATCTTGACAGCCATATGCAGGATGGATGGTTTGGCAGAATAAATAGTTCTGTAAGTTTTCGAGATTATATATATCCATTCAGGTACATCATGACAGAAGCCTTCAATCACTTTTTCCATGTAATTAACCCCTCTCCACCTATGATCCACAGCCATTGGCCATCCATAAATGCACGCTGTGCCTTCTAAATTAAATAAACAAATAATTTCCTGTCATGTTGCACTTGATTATACTGAAAGGCTATTGCTGTAGAATGAAATGCGATGTGAAATGAACAAAAGCAGAAATTCGAAGGTGAAAACTTAAAAGGACATAAAGACCATTCAGACCTCTTTCCTCAAAATTGTCAGTGCTTCACCAACATATGGAACTGAATCTTCAGGAACAAACTCCCTCACTTCATCCACCTGGGCAGCTGTACGAATAGGATCAAATATGATAGGACCCTTACCCTTCACAATATCAAAAGGTATATTCATTCCAGAAAGTGGGGTAAGAATGTCTGAGAATAAAATCACCTGTCAGAGAATTAATACAAAAACTATTAATGACAATGAAATGAGAACCATGACACAAGAAGTAGGCTAACAAAAATGTCCCACAATGGAAAAACTATATAAATGAGTGCAAGAGAGTTTATCTTACCCCATCAGGCTTGAAAACTTTCCATGGTTGCAATGAAATTTCCACAACAAGATCAACATTTTCAGATCTTACACGAAATGAAGGATATTTCTCATAGATGATTTGGTAACTCTGGTCAATAAAGGTTATCAAATTAGACCTATTTTCAGTCAAGAAAACATACACATATCAAAGTCATAAGTGCAGACTATAGCCAATAAATTTGCTAGCCACAAGAATCTGAAAGCAACAATGACAGCAGTACCACCAGCAATTCAAGCGGGATGAAAACCCAACCAATTTGGCAGATCAAAGCTGTGCTTGATTATGTTAAGTGGCATTTAAAACAGACATGAGCAATTAACTTTAATGATGTAAATTTTACTCTTGATGGCAACATTGGCATTTAAATTTACAAGTGACAAAGAAATAAAGCTGAAGCAACCAGACATAGGCTGCAACAATTCAAATAAATAATTATACTGAATTCAGTCCAGAAAATTTTCTCAGATGAGATATATCTGGAAAATGGCAACACACACCCCAAGCCATGTTTTAGTTTCATACAAAGGGAAAAAGTGCAGCAGGATAGGAGCACCGGAGTGAATGTAAAGGGAAAAACCCCGTGCATAAGGCTCCGGGAAATGCGAGGATAGGGGTGAGGGTCGATTACACGTGGCCTTACCCTTGTATTTTTGCAAAGAGACTGATTCCCAAACGTCAACTCGTGCCCTTCTGGTCACAATAAGCAACCTTAACGCTGCTACAAGGCTCACCCTAGTACTGGAGTGAATGTAATTAAAAAAAAAAAAAAACCAACTTAACAATAAAATCTTCATTATACAATGTCCATGTTTCTTTTTAATTAAACAAGACAATCCCCCTCCCGGACTTGTGAAATGGAGCAAACACTATGTTTCTTTCATTTTGCTATAAAGAGTAAGTTGGTCTATACAAAACACAAAGAGCAAGGGATTTGCAACCGTAATTTCTCGAGAATCTAAGAAAATTCAAGACAGCAAATTCAAACTCCGAAGTTCTAACTAAAATTACAATTAAGTTGCTCTGTTTTCAACTATGTATGAACTCCCAAATATTCATAAACCTGCCTTCATGTACCTCCCTGCTTGCCTCATGAGCCAAACTGGTGGTCTTTCAACATCTTTCCCTCGAACTGCGTTAAGCAAAAGTGGTTCGGCGGCAACTGCATTTGGTTCAGCAACTGCTCCTGCACGTGATTTTCCAGAACTCAGATACGAAAACTCACAAATTACCAGAATACTTTCTGAAGAACACAAATAATAGAAAAATTTGACAAGAAATACACAAGAATGGGCGTTGGCATTGTTAGCATTAGTAGTTTAAGAGAAGGGTCATAGCGTAAAGGAAAGATTACCTCCAATGGAACAAGTAATTGGGTGTCTTGATCTGGAGGAAAAATTGAAACTTGATGATGTTCTGGGCGTAGAAGAAGGAACATTGGTAGATGGTATGATGGAGCTAAAGCGACAACTGTTGATGCACGACATGTTTGAAGTTTGAAGCTTGATATGGGATATCAGCAACCTAATCCAATCCTTGCAAGAATCCAGATGTCACGGACTTTGGCCATGTAAGCTAGTAGCCTCGTGAAAATGCACTCGCTTCGATCATCCATCACTTATCTGCTTCACTGGCATTCAGTGAAGAAAATTTTGGGGATTATGACGCACACGTCACATTCACAACACCTTCTCATTTTTTCTAAATTTAAGGTTTTATAAGAGTCACGTGGTAGGAATACTGATTGTGTAATATTATAGAGATTTGTTTTGGGTGCTGTAATTTTTTTTTTTTCTTCAAAAAACTGTGGGCTCCACAAAATATTGTGTGTGTAGGAAAGTTTGTTGTGTGATAAGTGTGAGCTCCACAAAATGTTGTGTTTGTAGGAAAGTTTGTTGTGTCATGTTAAATGACAAATGCAAACTAGGGTGTTCGCGGTCTGGATTGGATCGGTTTTGGAAGCAAAAACCATCTGATCCAATCACTTCGGTTTGATCATATAATCATCCATTCGGTTTGGATTTTTTTTCAAATCTGATCCGATCTGATCTAATTTTTTCGGTTTGGATTGGATCTGATCGGTTTTCAGTTTTTTGAAAATCCTAAAATTTATTTCATGATTATTGTGCAAATAACATCTTTTGTATATATTGACTTTGTAAATTTTTTTTTTTGAAATACAAAAGCATTAGTAAATTATAATAGAGTTTTTTTTTTTGGGCAATGAGATATGAAGCTCTACAAAGATAAAATTTTGTTAATGAGATGTGACTAAATTTTTTCTTGGATTTAGTTGATGGATTAATGGGTCTTGGGTTTAGAAATTTTTGGGCTATGATTAGGGAAAGACCCAAGTAGATAGAGGGGAATTAATATATTGGATCGGTTTGGATTGGATCGGTTTCCATCAACCCATCCAAAAACCGATCCAATCCAATTAAAATTTGCGGGTTTTTTTTTCAGTTTTCGGTTTTTCAGTTTTCGGTTTTTTAGTTCGGTCACCGCGGTTTGAATTGGTTGATGAACACCCCTAATGCAAACCCCTTAAATTTATTACATTTTACAATTTTTATAGGTGAGATCTATTTTTTTTTTCATCATCTTTATATGATTTTATATAGAACTCACACATTTTTTATGTAAAACAATTTTATCTTTTACATTAAAAAAAAAAAGCAAATCTTTTAAATAAGGATCAAGTCATTTTACTGGTGTAATTTATATTTTTATTCAATTATTAAGTCGTTAAATATAAATAAATCAATAATCATAATTTGATATAATTTTTTTTTTATACCTGTATAAAAGAATATATTACCCAATAAAGTTTCATATCCTTACTAAAACTACTCATGATACTTACTAATTGCAAAATAAATATATAGCGGTAGTTTTTGTCATGTTTTACTGGGCACGTGAGTTACTCGAAGGCCCAATTTGGTTAGCACTTGTAACACCTAAACAGAATGAGTTTAGGTAGAATATACATTAATAGAAATAATGCAAATGTAAAATATGAGCATAAAGTAAATCCAAACATCATAACTAGGGTAACATCATAACCAGGGCTGAAAGTGGATTGGTCTGGGTCGAACTTTGTCCCAAAATGCATAAGTTTATATCAAAAAAATTAATTTGACTTACCCCGATAATATAATACGAGTCCAACTGTTATCCTGGCTTACCCCATTTATAAAAAAATAAAAATAAATGGCTTGTTCTAACTCGTTAACATGTTAATTTTTAACTTCCAAGCAGATCATGAATCAAGTTCACAAAATATTCAAATTTGGTCGCTAAAACAAAAACCACAATTTCAACGTTCAAACAAAACCATGAATTATAACAACAACTTATCACAATTTGCATTTAAGTCATCTTCAGAAGCAAAATGCTCAAACTAAATAACATATATTTCATCAGATCCAACAAATCAATCCATACTATGTAAATTAAAATAAATGTATGAATCCAACAAATGCATTATGATGCTTGTAGTAGCCAAAAACTTCTCATCATCTTCTCCCTCATGCCAATACAATTCCAATGTTACATAAGAAAACAAACAATTTGCAAATGTAGAAAATAAAAAATAAGATTAAAAAATAGAAAAAAAATTAAAAACAGAAAACCTTTTAATATCTTTTTTTTTTTCAAACCATACTTATTGCATAGTCAATCTCCATCATATATTAAAGTTTGGATGGTATCTTCAGCCAAGCTAGAACGATAAGTATCAATAACTCTTCCTTTAGAACTAAATGTTGATTCTGATGGTACTGTAGAGATTGGTACAGATCTTATGCTGCTCCCACAGGTAGTATTGGTGGAGAATCGAACTTAGGTCCTTCAACCACCTACTCAACTCACATGCACTAACTAAACTATCACTATTTGGTACTACTATGAATAATATTATTTTATTTTATTTAAAATAAATAATGTGATATAGGCCGGCATGTAAAAAAAACCTGTGGCATGTTCTATTTGATTATATATAATAGACTGAGTCTGACCTGATATAGGTTAAGCCGAAGGCCGTTGTAGGCTGACCCAACCCAATTACACCCCTAATCACAACTATAATTTACAAGACTTTGGTGCTGGTTAATTTAGAATGATAGTAAAAAATACCAACTTAAAACATTTTTCTTTTCAAAGCTGCAGATTAACATCAGATTTGGAATAAATATGAGGCCCACTTGAGAAGCCTTCACCATAAAAAAGCCCACCTGAAAAGCCTTCACTATCAGAAAATGTATCTCAGCTATTAGAGAATAATATAAATCATTAAAAGGCCTTCACTCAACTCCTTAAAGTTTTAGGTTGAATTGGTTCTTTACATGATATTAGAGCTTCAGTGACCACAAGGTCACGAGTTCGATCCTCACCACCCTCCACTTTCTAGTGGAATTAAAATAAACACAAGGTAAAACCAAAAATTGGTTCTGTGTAATATCCACGCTTCAAGTCCAAATGACTCTTACGTGAGAGTGTATAATATATTCCATTAAAAAGGCCCTTACCATCACAAGAACCAATTAGAAAACTTTGCTGCCTGACCACTTGTAGCAACTTGCAGGGGCACTCTCAAAGCTGGTCATACCCTTCACTAGAGGAGGATCACATGATCAGTCCAAGTAAAATTGATTCTGATCAACATAATATCCATTTATCATATCAAGAATTAGGCAACTCGGAGGTAGTTTACTTAAATCTTCAGTTTGAAGGTTATTATTCATTCACGGAATTACATAGTTATAATATTAAAGTTGTTCTTTTTTCCCTCTCTTCAGAAGCTGTATGCTGACGTGAAAAGTAAAAAAATACAACTTTAATATTTTAACTAAGTATTCACGAAAATGCATACTTAAAAACTACTCAAAGCACATAAGCTTATGGACGCTCCTTTTTTCCATTATTTATATACTAGAGACATATTTTCGTCTAATTTTTTGTTCTACATGAGAGATTCACTAGAGTTTCCTATTACGAAAGTTGTTGAGTTTTATCAGAGATATCTCACCCTCCTGATTTTAATCACATATCTGAGGGTGGTTCACTAAAATCTTTTACTTCAGAGGTTGTTAACTTTTATAACGAAAATACCTTACCCTCCCAATTTAATCTCATTGGTTATGACTCACTTAGAGTTCAGACTTGAGTTTGTAGCATAGTAAACTATACTAAATAAGCATTCCATGAAAACAAGAATCATTAAATCAAATAAATGTATCAAATGATACACAATTTTAAAATTTACTATCCAAGATAAGACATTGTCAAATAATCTGCTAGATTCTTGCTAAATCTACTTACCAATCCTCTAAATCCGAAATTTCAGCATAGTAAAGTAAATATGTTAAGCTCTCTAGCAAGTCAATAATTACCAAACTTGGAGCTATTAGCTCAAGTTATGGTTATTTAAAGTAAATGACTGTTGTTGAATTGTGTCTTAACTTTTCTGATGTTAAAATGGTATATCGCTTTATGAGACATGGTGGAACTAATTGCAAGTCATCATGCTAGACATGCATGCTTTTGGTATTTTAATATTTGCTGTAGTATCCAATTCCTAGAAGTCAAAATTTCATAGGGCTACATGCACATATTCTTAAAAGACACTGGCAACTGGCATGTGCACACTGCATGCTCGGGAACCTTTTCACTATTGCCGCTTCACATGGCATACACCTGGGGCTGGAATGGACCCTGTAGTTCTAATTTCTAGAAGTCAAAATCGCATAGGGGTACATGCACATATTCTTAATACACACTGGCAATTCTGGCATGTGAGTACAGTGCACCTGTTAGCTCTGTAATCTTTGCACTCTTGCTGCTTCACATGGCATACACCTGGAATGGACCCCGCAGATCGTGTATGACATTAACAACTATGTAAAAAAATCTAGTATTAATATTTTTCTTATTATTCTCTGACTATGGACAGAATTCACTATGTAGATGATAGTTTATATATTTTAAAGTTTAAATTTTGATGTTGGAGGCTGTTTGAAATTAGCTGTCCCACAGGCTGCAACTGTAGAACTTATATTCTGGGGATTAGCATCTTTGAGTTTGACTTTAATGCTTTCTTTTAAAAAAAAAAAAATCAAAACAAAATCTACAACTTATAATTTGATATAAGTTTCTGCAGCTTGGTAATTAAAATTTGCTGCCTTTATTAACGTATTTAAACATTATTAGGCTTTGAGGTTCTCAGGGATGACATATGTGCTCTGAAGTAGTAGATATACTTATAGTTGAAATATAGTTTATGATATATACTGAATGTGAATTTTTTTTTACTGTTCTTCAATAATTGTTATAAGAAGAGAAGTTGTTTGTGATTGCAATTCAAGTCGACTGCAAATGGGAATAATTAACATATTATGCCTGAATGTTCCTCACATTTCTTATATGCAGGCTCAGAATATTGAAAACTATTATCAAGGAAAGGTTCACTTTAAAAAAAAGGGGGAGGGAAATAAAAAACCTTGGGGTCTATTTTATCATTGTCTTCCCCAGCTGAAGAGCAGCATTAGGCCACTGTAACAAGTTCTTTTAGTGGCCCTTTCCTTCATCATCTTTGAATTGGATAGT